ATAGTTTTGCGATATAGAGATGATAATATGGGGATGTACTAGTAAATGACTGTGGTTAGTAAGAACATTGGTGTTAAGGTTTGTGATTCCCTATGCAAACACGAAAGTCAATAGTTATGCAATGAAATTACATCCTACTTGTGGTGCATTATTCGGTGTTAGTATGCTTAATACTTGTTTATGAGAATTTTCATTTCTTGGTTGGTTGATTCTCAATCTTGTTGCTAGCCTCAACTTGTACTAAGTAGAAATTTTACTTGTGCATGCAAAATCCTTAAAACCAATTTTTGCATATGAGTCCGTCATACCTACTTATATGCGGTATTTTCGTGCCATTCTAAGTAAATTTGTATGTGCCAACTCTAATTTTTAAAATAAATTTCCGTTTTGTGTGCCCGTACCACTCATGTGGCGGCAGGGGATGACCGATGTCTTCCATGATTAGCAGGTTATTCTCATGATGAGTGTTTATTCACTTGTCATTGCACAAGAGTATGGTGGTAATAGGGATTCCCAGTCCCATAATGAATCGAAAATAATAGCAACAAAATTCCTTAAAAAGTGTTGGTATGGAAGACACTCATGGATACCGCTAGCCATGGATTATGAAAGAATGATGGAAAGGAAATGAATTTTATTTTCTGTTTGGAAACCACCTATAATGTGTCTAAAATGGAGGATGTTGGGAACTCTCGGTCGTAGCGTTGACAGGAAAAGCATGCCTCTCATTTTTTTTTATCTCTCAATTTTTGATTTGAGCTCTGGCACCTCTACAAACCTCTGCTTCCCTCTGCGAAGGGCCTATCTATTTACTTTTATGAATTTTTTATTTTTATTTGAGTCTCCATCTTCTCTTATAAAGCACCAACAAGGGAGCACTATGATCATACTTATGCATTGATGCAACTAATATTCGAGTGTGTTTTGTGAATGGATCAATGATTGAGCATGACGGGCTAGGGATAACTTTCTTTAGCGTTGATATTTTGAAAGACATGATTGTTTGTTGGGATGCCTGAGTATTGATGTATTTATGTGAAATTATAGACTATTGCTTTGAATCACTTATGTCTTAATATTCATGCCATGATTAGATATATGATCAACTTTATGCTAGGTAGCATTCCACATGAAAAAATATCTTTTTTATCATTTACCTACTCGAGGACGTGCAGAAATTAAGCTTGGGGATGCTGATACGTCTTCATTGTACCTACAATTTTTGTTTTTTTCATGCCAGTATTATACAATTTTCACATAATTTTGGCAACATTTTATCTGATTTATTGGACTAACCTATTGATCCAGTGCCCAGTGTCAGTTCTTGTTTGTTGTAGTTTTTTGTTTCACAGAATATCCATATCAAACGAAGTCCAAACACGATAAAAAAATTATGGAGAATTATTTTGCAACATTTATGATTTTTGGGAGGTGAAATCAACGCTAACGGAGGCCCACGGCCTCCACAACCCACCAGGATGCGTCGGGCACCCCTGGCACGCCCATTTTTCTTGTACCCTCCCCGTAAGTCAGTTGGGGCCCTTCTTCGAGTGCAAGAATGATAATTTATGGAAAAAATCGTGTAAAAATTTCAGCGCAATCGGACTTACGGGTCTCCGGGGATTTAAGAAACGGTGAAGGACCAGAAAACAGGGGCGCGAAACAGAAGAGAACAAAGAGGGAGATCCAATCTCGGAGGGGCTCCTGCCCCTCCGCCGCCATGGAAGCCATGGACTAGAGGGGGAACTCTCCTCCCATCTAGGGGGAGACCAAGGAAGAAGAAGAACGAGGGGGGCTCTCTCCCCCTCTCTCCCGGTGGCGCCGGAGTGTCGTCGGGGTTAGGATCGTGACGACGATCTACATTAACAATCTTCCTACCATCAACACCTACTTTCTCCCCCTCTATGCAGCGTTGTAACACCCCTTCTCTCTGATGTAATCTCTACTTAAACATGGTGCTCAACTCCGTATAATATTTCCCAATGATATGTGGCTATCTTATGATGTTTAAGTAGATCCGTTTTATCCTATGGATTAATCGTGATCTTGGTTGGTATGATTGTATATTTTATTTATGGTGCTGTCCTACGGTGCCCTTTATGTCGCGCAAATGTGAGGGGTCCCCGTTGTAGGGTGTTGCAATATGTTCATGATTCGCTTATTGTCGGTTGCGGGAGTGACAGAAGCCTAAACACGGATAAGTAGGTTATAGCGTATGGGAGTAAAGAGGATTTGATACTTAATTATATGGTTGGGTTTCATGGCCTTAATGATCTTTAGTAGTTGTTGATGTTTGCTAGAGTTCCAATCATAAGTGCATGTGATCCAAGTAGAGAAAGTATGTTAGCTCATACCTCTCCCTCATATAAAATTGCAAGTATGATTACCGGTCTAGTTATCGATTGCCTAGGGACAAATAACTTTCTTGTTTGACACAACCTTTTTACTAAACAACTAACTTTTATATCCCGCAAAGTACTCCTTGTTTTATTCTTGCAAAGTAATTCTAGCATCACACTTACAAAATAGTTTTACACTTGTTCTCCGTAAAGTAAAGTTAAAGTGTGCGTAAAGTTGTATCGGTGATCGATAGAACTTGAGGGAATATTTTGTTTTACCTTTAGCTCCACGTTAGGTTCGACACTCTTATTTATCGAAGAAGGCTACAAATGATCCCCTATACTTGTGGGTTATCAAGGAACCATCCCAATCATATATTAAGCTTTGTAGTAATAATTTGATATTCATTTTAATGATAGGGGAAAAAATCAGTTTTATGCAAATTAAATTTAGAACCTTTCACCAGCCATATTGCATGTAGTAGTAGTACTTTCATAATCTCTTGTGGTGTGACTTGCCAGTATATTCAACATATTGACCTACACAACTGCAATGTTTCATGTTGCATGATATTATACGACGAGTAAGTGTTGCATTAGGCTTACGATGTCTACACTCAGTTCACCATTGGTGTTAGTGGGACTCCACAACCTATGTTGATATTTCCGATGTATGGATTAACGGTATTCACGTTTACTTTTTACATGTGATTTTCTGCTTTCATCGAGTATTGTATGTGTTAGCTATTGATCCAGGGATAGCACACTTAGCACAGGAGACTTGGATCCTTATCGGAACCGGGTTGTTACAATCTGTGAAGAGCAACTGCGCCACGTTGACGTCGACAATGTATAGCACTTGGCCGGCGGCGGTTGCCGTGGACTACTGCCTACCGAGTTGCTTGGCGGTGTGGTATTACGGAGCCTTGTAATGGTCCGTCCATGGCGGTGTTTGCACGGTGGGCGACACCATCGGGTCACCACGGCCCAGGCTACGACCTCCACCACGTTCGCGACCAGCATGTCCGCCACCAGCACGCCCTCCATCGACCTTCCGCGTCTTGAGCGTTTCCTACTTTGCGGCCTTCGCTTTAATGCGGCGATTTTGTCGCGTTGCCGAGTTGATCTTTCACGCGAGCCTGATGCTCGGATCCTCTAGCACCTCCACCACCTCCATTTCCGACAGGTTCTTCTCCAGTTCCATGCGTCGGCGACGGGAAGGAAGAATAGAGTGGGAAAAAAGGGCGGTAATTGGATAGAGAGCGGCGGGGTAGAAGAAGAGAGTGGGGGATTTTAGCATGGAAACAATACGGGCCGCTACAAAAGCGCGGGCTCTGTCTTCCTTTTCTGTGGGTCAGGGGTGTCCGAGTCCGACGTGTCTCATGTCCGAACTCCTGCAAAGCTCCCACGCTTGGTTTCGGTTTGAGAAAAATCATGATTTGGACTGCTCCGCGAACGGATGGGAGTCAGCTCTGTATGGCTTCCGGGGTCTGAACGCAGCAGCTGCGTCCGGACAGATACTACCTGTTCGAGGGTCGCCATGGAGATGCCCTCTTACTGAGAGCTTTAAGATTGACGACATGTTCCATTTTGAAATTGTTCGTTGCTTTCTTGACAGATGACAAAACTACCACTCGTTTTTTCCTTTCTTTTTTGCCGAGGAAAATGGATTCAGTGTGGAAGTTACACTTCAACGGATTCTCAAGTTTACGAATAACTCCGGACAGCTGCTAGGAGACACAACCAATGTCGTCACGCTGTTACTGGGCATGCTATGCTATCATACAAAATACACCACATAAAAGCAATTGGCATACATCTGAGAAAAGATGTATGAACAGAATCTCAACAACATCAATATCGACGGAGACAAACAATTTATTTACCCAGCTCATCAGAACAGTTAATTTGGTCTCTGGCATTCGACCTTTCGCACATTTCTTTACAGCAACTATTGGAAATGATTCAGACTATATGCTCAAGTTTCTTTGGTTAACACACTGCTAAACACAGCAAGGTCCCTCGCGTTAAAATGTAGGAGTATTTCTTAAACAACTGGTTGATGTAAATCGCAACGATCATGTTCTTTGACCTAGCCACCTCACAGCTTCCCATGGAAAAAGTTTCATCATTCAGAACAAACGAGCTTTGCAACGCAATCCCTAGGAGGCACATTATGATCCAACTGTCTGGTACATTTGGGGGGCTCGGTTGCAAAGAAGCTGTGAAACATCCCATGTACAAGATGAAGCTGGAATCCTAGGTTCGACCTCCATGATTTGGGGGACTGACAAATAAGAAAAGTCAGTCCTCCATGATTCAATGCCGATAACCCAGCTCGAAACATCCCTGGCAACGCCATGCTGCAACGTACAGCCGGAACTGAGCCATTAGGAACAGACTGCCTGTGCGATACTGTGACCTGGTATATCAACCCTTATACCATGATGCAGAGAGAAGTACAAGTTCCCTGATCTGGAGTCTACACACATTCCTCCAGGCACATATTGTGTTGGGAGTTGGACCTGTTGCATCAAGCACTGGCCCACTAGATACTGGGTTCTGAGAGTGCGGTGCTTGATATTTGGTTGCCAAGGGAGTACAGATGGTAAGCTTCTTGGATCTTTCCTGTGAGTTTTGACTGTACAGGACATTACACGTCTAACGAGGGTTGAAGGATTGCCTGCAAAAGAAGGAAGGCATTAGTAACCCCACAACATCATCCAGAAGATTTTTAACTCTCTTTGATGGTAGTGAAACGAAAAATGTTAACTTAACAAATGTAGACAACGTGATGTTTAACTCTCTTTGAGCAATGTATACTCTCTGAATTTGTACTTTCCAAGATGCATCAACTGCATGCTTTGTACTAGATGATGCCGTCTGCATATGATCCTTTGAAGGTATTTTAGCAGGGTGCACTACCGTTGGGCTGGACTACGCTTCGGTGCCTTAAGGCACCTGCCTTTGTGCCTATGAATGTGGGCCTGACAGGTGGCTGGCCCACATGTCAGGGACCCAAAGGCAGGTGCCTTTACGTCACTGAAGCTGCATCCCGTTGGGCTATACTTGTGTCAGGGGCGCCGGGGCGGGGGGACCATAGGTCATCAATTGTCAGAATTTCAAGCAAGACACATTGACAGAAAGGCATCACAAGAAACTAAATCTTCCAGGGTCTCACTAGGATCATCTTAATCTTAACAGTCGCTCTGCATGTTAATTTTATTTAATAGCTTCAAAGGAGAAAAAGACGCACATACCTCAGTCATGTCAATCATTGCTAGGGAAAATGTGCATTATAGCTACTAGTAACAGAAAATTTGGAGAAAGATTTGACCTTTTCCAACTACTTTTCATTAATCGAGGTTCACAAGCACGATGGTTTGATTTGGATGAAACCTTCAACGATTCTTCGTCAAGATCAACCTAACATTTTATAATTCAGGAAAACAGTGCCGCAAATGTCTACTTTCTACTGACTATTAGAACCAGCAATCAAAGGTGTTCCTTCCGTTTCTTTGCCAGGGGGTTATCCTCACAAAAGATAATTTGGTTAAATACTTAAATGTAAATGACAGCAGGACACGCAATGCAGCTTTTGCTATGAACAGGAGACCATTCAGCATTCTTTTATTGCGTGTTAGCATGCATTGCATGGCAGGCTGTTTATTTAGCATTTAACATTACTGCATCTTGTAGTATTTCACACATATTTGGGACGTGGCTGCAGGGGGGTAGGTAAATCACTATAATCGCTTTATTATGGTTGGGACTGGAGCAGTTTTTTGGTCTATTTGGCTTTGTAGAAACAGTACTCCCTCCGATCCAAATTGACACGGTCTCTATACAACCTCTATACAATGTTGTATAGAGGCTGCGTCAGGCCCTGTTTGGATTGTCGTGTTCTTTTCAAACACACCTGTAAAGAATATAGGTCACAGATCATCGTTATGTTTCCGGCTGAGAATTGCTGAGCAGATGGTAAGATACAGGTTCAAAATAAACACCTCTATATTTATCTACAAGGAATCTAAATGCGGCCTCAATTAATTTGGATTGGAGGGAGTATTATTTTTTTACAACAATGTCCAATCTTGCAGGCAGGTGCTACGATCGTGTATCAGTTGGCTGCAATCATAGGCGTTGTTACAGAAGGTGTAGCTCAACAGAGCTTGGCACCAAGAAGTTAGAGTGGCTTACCAGGGAGTTTATGTCCTGGTTTGGATGGTGTGCTAGTGAAGTAGTGCGAGGCTTCTCAGTCTCTACTCTCTAGTGATGATATGTGTGGCCTGTCTTTTTCATTAGGCCTATAATGTTTAGTGTGGTTATGTTGCTTTTTGATGGCTTGTAATAAATAATGTAATAATCAGGGATGCATGTATCAACGATGCTGAGGCCGGGGGTAATAAAGCTTTCATTTTACAAAAATTACAATATTAGAACCAGCAATATAAGAAAGTAATGAAGAAAGAACAAAGTCTGTTAGTTAGGACTAGATGCTTGAATGGGATGAGACTTTTGCCAAAAGAAAGGGTGCAAGCAGTTTGAAAATGGATGTTTTATTCTTCCTGTTGCATCATTGGTGATATCAATACATAATGGATCATCCCTTGTATAAATGATTCGCTGTCGAGATCCCCTCCCAGTAAAAGAGATTTGAGTTGGAAATAAGACATTTACCTTGGCAAAGAAGAATGTTTCCTCTGTGACGAAACAGCTGATCCATTTTCGCCACCATTTTCCTCGAGTTCAGCGAAGCGTTTCTTAAATTGGTCAACAGCACTGCAATACCAGAAGATGCAAGCATATCAGACATGGATGATGATGACTAAGAGAAGATAAACAAGTGTGCAATAACATATCTAACCTTAAATGAACAAAGTTTCGTCTGTCTGTTCCACTGATATGCTCCTTCAGTAATTGAGGATGATACTCCAAAATTTCTTCAAAGATCAGTTCCTTGATGTCCTCCTTTGTTACTCTACGACCCTCAAATTCGAATTCAATTTTTGGTATCGGTTGACAAGATGGTTCTCGCTCTACCTTTGCTAGTCCATTAAAGTATGGATCTGCCAATGCCTACAATTAGCAGATATATCAAGATCACAATATCTTGTACTGCCAGATGCAGAACATGGGACCAGTTAAGTTCATATATATCGCATACCTCTTCAGCAGAGGGACGATCCTTTGGATCAAAAGCTAGAAGCCTCCTAAGCAATCGTAATGCTAATGGGTCAGCCTTCGGAAATTTCTGCGAAAAGGAAGCAGGCTGTTTCTTCCGCATGCATGTCAGATATTTTCTTGCCTTGTCATTCCGCACCTTAGCAGAGGTAGGACAGCAGAAAATTTTATAAGCAGACAGAACTATAACTTTGACAGCAAACTTCCAAAGATCCATACCTGAGAAATAGCATCTAATGAAGGTGTCCCCAGAACATCAGTTATCAAATCCAGCTGGTGAACAACATTTTTACCAGGAAATAGAGGCTTTCCAATCAACACCTCGGCAAAAATGCACCCTATACTCCATATATCAATAGCTGGTGTATACTGCAACCCAAAAGATGGTAAATTTCAGTGCCACGAACAATTGGCCATACCAACTAAAATCAGGACCGGGGGAAGATCTTGTTTACAAAAGAAATATAACAGAAAAACAATGCCACAACTGTGGTCAATACCAAATAAGACGATTTGTAATTAGCTGAATATTTCTTTAACCCAACTAATACTATGCACTGTTCGGTTGCTCAAGTAACGGATATGTTTTCCAACTTTGCAATAAGCAGCATGAGCAAAAGAAATTGTGCTGAAGGGATCCATTTACTTGCGGAAGGTTGTTAGTGATAGTTGCTATCTACCTTCTCTCTGTAAATTGGTAATGATGTGGTCTAAAACTGCAGTGGTCCTTGGTATACAATATGTATACAAACATTTAGTGATATACGCAAAGACATGGAGTTCCAACCTTGCAGTGCTATCCATCATTCTATTGTTTGCAGCCATATGACAGCACAGTTACAAGTTTAAACAGCATACAATATGGGCTTATGAATCATGAGTGTTACTTCTTTATTGCCAATTTGCCATGGGACATTTGCTGATTTACAAGTATATGATGAGTTGATGGCATCAACTTTTCTGCTCAAATTTGCGCATACAGGTGTAAACGATGCATTACAATTTTATTTGGGTGCTATAGGCATATAAGACAGACAAATCCAAATATTAAAAAGAAGTCAAAAGCGCCTCATGGCAATTCCCTCAATACTCACTACAATGTGAGGTGACTCGACTGTCAGGACCCTGACTGAACCCACTAGTGTTGTATTCCTATTGGCACTTCAGTTAACCAATGATCCAGACTGATCAAGACAAGAAGCAATGGACAGTCCAGATGGCGCGAGCAAAAGAGTATCTTTACTGTTTACCATTTAAACTCAATTTCAGTGTACTGTTTATCTTGCTGCTTCACTGCTGTAATTTCCCTCATACTCACCCCATGGCCAACTCCCTCATGCTCACTACAAGGTGAGGTGACTCAACAGGCACGGGATATCAAGTTCCAGACCCACATCCCAACAATGTCATTTACCAGCACCAGTACCATCACACAAAAATAATGCCTATTAGGTTGGCATCATCTATATGTATACATGTCGAGCTCTCTAACTTCTGATTAATCATAAGTTCGTAACATTGCTTACCTTGGAATAGAAGGACCCACAAAGTTCAGGTGCTCTATACCATCTCGTTGCCACATAATCCTGAAAAGCGAAGTTTATTTTAATTTAGAAGTTCATTTGACAGGAATAGAAAACATTGGATGAGCAATGAAAGGCTCCAGAGCAGCCCAAAAGCCCTAAATTAATGGTTAGCTGCACAACCGTCAACCCCAATCCCACCCTAAAACCAAAGAATGAGGAAATGGCTTCGTGAAGACCCACTTAAAAGTAAAACTAGATGACAACTTATTTCAACTTGTATGTGACAGACTGACAGTACACTGATCATTAGATATTCACTTTCCCTTTGTTAGAACCATTGCGTCTCGAATGAGGCAACCTGAAGTTCAACATGACAACAGGGAACAAAGCATAATTCGGTGCTAGTAAATCTCCAATTGTTAGTTAATAATATGACTAACAGTGGGTGTCACAAGAATAATGTTGGGAGTAAATACACCACCGGCTATTTGTTAGCTGCACCATGTAATGTGTTGTCACATGACAATACAATCAATTACGAACTGTGATAAATAGCTGATCGAAGGGGCAGTCGGAACTTAAAACAATCAAGACAGAAACTTTGAGTAATGCAAGGTCAACCAATAACATATGCTATTGAGATACAATAACAAAAGATATTACTTACTGTCCAGAAGACTGTCGTAGGTGCATCATTGAATGCAACTCTCGCCAAACCAAAGTCACAAATTTTGAGTTTGCAATTTGCATTGGCAAGCACATTCTTGGGCTTCAAATCTCGGTGATAGACATTTGCTGTATCAAAGCACAAACAATAGTTAGCCAATTCTGATCATATGTAGCAACTGAAATGATATTATATAATTTCCAACATTAAAAATCAAACATGCAAATATAAATAGAGTATGGAACCAAATATGCTATGGTTTCGGTAAATACCAAACTAGTCAAAGTTGACACGGATTCAAAAAATAAAGGAGCAACCTTTTACTTTTATTTGTGCAACTAAATATTTGAGTTGTCATGTGCAATGCTGCATCAGTAATCAATACCCAGATACTCAGATCAGCATGCATTAGTGGGCAAATGCAGAACATGACGCCATAAACATAGGTGATTGTCATACACAATGATACAGCAAATAGGTTGGGGCCATAAACATCAGTGGTCGGGGTCCATCGCGTATACACAGACACAGGAGCATATTGCAATAACAAGCCTACATGCTACAACAGCATTGCTGCATTTCAAACCAGGCCTTAGATGCAGGCCATGGCGCGCATTCAGAACGACTATCATCTCGACCAAATTGTACCAAACTTTAAATCAGTAGACCCGTTCAATAGATTGTTAATTAGAACTCATGTAATTGTTCGAAACAACAGGACGGGGGAAAAGGGATGAATCAAATCATCAAATGGTTACAAGTGAAATTTGCATGCAAATTAGCATACAACAATACAGGTGCAAGAAAGAAACAATAGTCAAATAGCTACATGGTGGTTCCATAAGAATAGAAGCGCATGGAATTGATCTTCATAAACTGAAGACTGAGGAAGTGCATACCTGTGTGCATATATTTCAAAGCTCGAAGCATCTGATACAAGAAAAACTGATAATGCTCCCTCGTCAAATCATCATTAGCCTTTATTACTTGATGAAGATCTGACTCCATAAGTTCGAAAACAACATATATATCTTTGAAATCCTTTTTGGATGGGGGGAGCAAGATATGCTTTATTTCCACTACATCAGGGTGCCTAAGAAGCCTGAGAAGCTTGATTTCACGGAGTATGCGTGCAGCATCCGATATATGCTCAAAAATGTTGTGTATCTTCTTTATTGCAACCTTCTCTCCTGTTTGTGTATCATTTGCAGAACATACAAGTCCATAACTACCTTTGCCTATGACCTCCAGAACTTTGTATCGATTAGTATCGCCATATTCAGTAAAGAAATCAATTTCCGCTGCACTCTGAATTAGAGAAAATAGTCAGATAACTAATACCGTTACACATTAAACCTACCAAAGACAGAAGACAATGACCATCCATGATGGTACTACCACTTGGTTACTCTATGATCAAAAGGAAAATGTGTACTTTTGACCCCTAAACTATTGTTTTGGGTGTAGATCTGGTCGTCAACTCCTAAAACGGTACTTTCACCCTTCAACTCTCAGTACTGTATACCTTTGCTCAATCGAGGTGGTTTTGACTGTTCCAAAATGGTTTTGATCGTTGCGGCATCTACATGTAGGCCAAATCACATATCTGCAGTCTTACCAATTTCCTCCCAGAAATTCCTAAAATTTAATTAAGAAGCATAAAAAGGCAAAATATATATATACTTCAAACGAAGATATCAATGCATCTAGCAAAAAGATATCAGTTTTGAAGAAATGGAGAAAATTATCAGAAAGGGGAAAAAAGAGTAAAATCATACACAGCATAATGGGGTAAAAAAACTCGAGAAACTCTTTTTATTTACAAAAACTCATATTTTCAAAAATCAAGAAAACAAAAAATAGTCAAAAGGAAAATCAAGAAATTGCAAATAAAAGGAGATTATGACTCGTTTATTAAATTGCTTTTCTTCTAATAAACCAAAAAATGTCGGATTTGCTCCTTTTTTCTCTCTCAAATTCCTTGTAAATGCAGAATATGAAATATCATTTTTTATTATATTTTCCTTTTTTGTTTTCTTTCTCTGCTTTTTAAATAGGTTTGTGGATTTTTGGAACGAGATTAGTGATGCAGCAGACACATGGTGCTGGCGCTGCATCAGTAAAAACCGCTTTGAAACGGTCAACCCGTCTTGAGTGACAAAAAGTACACGAAATGACAGTTCAAGGGCAAAAATATCTGGTCGTGGGACCAGATCTACACCCAGCCAATAGTTTAAGGGGCCAAAGATACATTTCCGAATCAAAACACTGCTGCAAATTAATCACAGATGTTCAGTGGTATTGATGTCAAAACCAGAGCAAGTCCCTCTCCGCCTACAAATTAATCATCCAGCGTCAGTATGACATACTAGCTTGCAAGCAAACAGTGGAATGGAGCAAAGGTTTTCCGCTGTTACTACCAGGTAGATATAAAGATATTCCTTTGATATGTAATCACATACTCCAGAGCCAAGAACTACGCACACCTCTCACTGCAAATTTACAATTCACTTACTTTGTAGCATGTGGAAAAATAAATTATTACTCCCTCTGTAAACTAATATAAGAGAGTAGTGATCTAAACGCTCTTATATTAGTTTACAGAGGAAGTACTACCAAAGAGTGAAGGAGGTGTCCCTAGAAACAGCAGCTACTTTGTAGAATAACAACATTAGCAAACAAAAATGTCCCAAAGTCATAGCATGTCCCCTAGTTTTATTCGCTTAAACTAATATTAAACCCATTTGGACCTCTTACTCGAATTGCCATCATCCCAAACATTTTCACTACACCCATCCATCTAAACAGGCAAAGCCAAAGAATACAAGAGCTCGAACCTTCTTGCGCAAATCGCTGTTCTGCATCTCGGAGCCCGTGGTGGAAGCTTCACAAGATCGACCTTTCTTTCTTTCTTTTCCCTCCTGCCACGATCCCGCCAGACAGACAGACCGGCCGTGGATGTCCTTGCTCAGGCCGGGTCAGCCGCACTTGCCCCACCGGCTCCTGCTCCGAATCGCGTTCCCGCAGTCGTTCCTGCTCCTCATACACCCCTCGCCGCCACCGTACGTGGCTGCCGTGGCCGCCGCCACGGCCGGGTTTTTGTACGGTTCGGGAAGATCGCGAGCCGGCGGCAGTCGCTTCGGATCTGGGGGGAGGGGGAGGGGGCGTCGTGCGTGGAGAGAGCTCGTCGGCGTGCTGTGAGGCAGCGGAGGAAGCTGGGGTGACGATGTGGGAGGGATATTTTCTCTTCTCTTTCTCCTCTGTTTTCTCCGCGTGCGTGGCAGCTATACCTCGTGGATTCTCGGTGGCGTTTCGCCGTTTCCAAAGGTAGATCACAAGACTCGGGCTCTCTTTAGACCAAAAATATAATTTCTTTAGACTGAAAATACATTGATGACAGGGATCACGGAGGGTCCGTCCCACGTTGGGTGACGGTTAGGTTAGGTCCGGCGATCACGGAGGCGACTGCGCCCCCGGGTCTCGTTGGTAGTTCCCGTCCAGTCTCAATCAGATCTCGCCGCCGATCAGCCGGGTGCAGAGCCGTCGCTCCTGTACTCCTGGCCGTGGTGCGAGCCCCGCCCCCACCATAAGCCTCTCGCGTGCGTCCTAGGGCACGCGACCGTAATACACCACTTCTAGGTTTCCCCTGAGGCGTTGAGGCGTGCTAGATCAATGGAGAAGGTGGCCGGTCTGTTGGAGCAGATGAAGCTTTCGGAGGAGGAGAGGAAGGGGTGAAGATCAGGTGGGCGTCGAAGGCGAAGGGGAACGAAGGGGAGATCAAGGCGATTGGCAAGGTACTGTCTGAGAGGCCGGCGCACCCGGATGCGATCAGCTTCTCGCTGGGGCGATGTTGGTGTCCGTTGAAGGGGGTGGACTGCAAGGAATTGGGGGAGAACATCTTTCTGTTCACCTTCAAGCAGGAATCAGGGAAGAGGAAAGCGTTGGAGGAAGGACCATGGATGTTTGACAATGATGTAGTGGTCATGGTGGATTTCGTGCCTAGCAAGAGAATCGACCAGTATGTGTTCGAGGAGGTGCCGATCTGGGTTAGGGTTTTTGGCCTGCCGCTAAGGAAGATGGAGGAGGACACGGCGGAGGACATTGGTAATTTGGTGGGGAAGTTTGTAGAGATGGGCATGGGGGCTGATGGTTCCAGGATGGGAAGGTACCTGCGCATTAAGGTTCGTATGCCAATATCTAAACCAATCATGCGAGGTTTCTACCTGGATGTAGAGGAGGAGAGTGATGAGGAAAGGATGGGGGAGGGAGCAAAGAGGAAGGAAGAAGAAAGGCCGTTCTACAAGTTTGAGTATGAGTTCCTCCCGGACTTCTGCTATGTGTGTGGGATGCTTGGACATGTGGAGAAGGGGTGCTCGGTGAGGTTGGGGAAGGGGGAGAAGGCACAATATGGGAAGTGGTTGCGGGCTGACATGGGAAGACGCGGGGGAGAAGAAGGGCGGATGTGGAGAGGCAATTATTATGGCAATGGCAGTGGGAGTGGCTCTGGTGGGGGAAGGAATCTTGGCAGCAGAGGGGCAGGGGGGAGATCAAGGAGCGACAGCCTCAATTGGCATAAAACTGACTCAGGGTCCAGCAGGGATAAATCGGAGGATGGGGAGGAGGTGAATAGCCCCAGTAAACTAGTCAGTGCAAGAGGGGGATTGATGCAACGGAAGAGGCTGGAGTTCGGGGAGGCTGGCAGGGGCGCAACGGGTAGCGAAGCCGGGGTATTGGCAGTGAAGGGTAGCGAGGTTGATCAGTCAGTTGCGAGGAAGGACTCTGGGCAGGAAGTAGGTGACAATGGGGGCGGCAGCACTGTCGGGGAAGATAAGGAGAAGCCCGCGAACCGTGTTAATGTTGGAGAGACAGGGAGGAAGGTCGGCTATGTTCCGAAAACTTATAAGAAGATTCGAAGGGAGGAGAAGCAAGGAGGTGTGGAGAAGGAAGGGGCTGGCAAGTTAACTGGCCAGAAGCGAGGCAATGAGAAGGGAGAGGAGTATGAGGCCATGAAGAAAGGAAGGGTGGAGAAGGAGGGTGGAAGCCAGGTGGAGGTGGATAACACAAACTTAGTATCGGCCGGGCTGCAAGTGCAGCCCCGCCGGGAGCAATGAGAATCGTCAGTTGGAACTGCCGGGGACTCGGGAACGGCCCGGCAGTTCGTGGCCTCTTGGATCTCAAGAGGGCGGAGGATCCCGATGTGGTGTTCTTGTGTGAGACTAAGTTGTTCGAAAAGGAGTTAGAGCGGTACCGGTGGAAGTTGGGGTTGGTTAATATGTGTGTTAGGAACCCAGAAGGAAGAAGTAGGGGGCTAGCAATACTGTGGAGGAGGGGAGTTAATCTATCTTTGAGATCAATGGGAAGAAGGCACATCGGCGCAGACATCACAGAGGAGAATGGAGTGGTGTGGAGATTTACCGGGGTCTATGGCGAGTCGCAGGCCAGCAGAAAGAAGGAAACTTGGAGAACACTACATCTTTTGCAGCAGCAACATCAGGAGGGAAGACCCTGGCTTTGTATGGGAGACTTTAACGAGATATTAAGTAACGAGGAGAAGGGGGGTGGAGTGGATAGAGCGGAGGGATGCATGAATTCATTCCGGGAGGCGCTTGAAGGGTGCAGGTTGAGTGATTTGGGATTCGAAGGGGACATTTTCACGTGGTGGAATAACTGTACTAACGCGGACGGATACATATGTGGTCGACTGGACAGAGCGGCGGCCAATATGGAGTGGTGTGAGGCGTTCCCGGAGTTCCGCGTGAGGAATGAGCTGCCGCGACATTCGGATCATCGGCCTGTGGTGGTGGATACGGTTGATACGGGGAACAACAGGAGGGGAGGAAGGGGAGCCTTTAGGTTTGAAGCACGATGGTTGAGGGAGGAGGGGTGCGACCTGGTGATGGAGGAAGCGTGGAGGAGAGCACATGAGAGGGGCACGGTGGATATTACTAAGGCGTTGGAGGATGTGGCGGCCGATCTAACACGGTGGAACAGAACAGTCCTGGGTGATACGGAAAGGAAGTTAAAGGAAGCCAAGAGAGAGCTGGAGGAATGGTGGAAGAGGGATATCACACCAGAGAAGGTTGCGGAAGAAGTACGTCTACGCTGCTTGGTAGATCATCTTGAGGAAGTGGTGGACATAAAATGGAGGCAGCGTGCTCATGTCTGGTGGCTGAAGGAAGGAGATAGGAACACGAAGTTCTTCTTTCGGTATGCCTCGGCGAGAAGGAAAGCTAACCGTATCAGGAGGCTAACGAGGAAGGATGGTGTGGTGCTGGAGGAAGGGCGTGAACTAACTAAGTATGCTCAGTCTTATTTTCAGGGCTTATTTACCTCAAATGGCAATCACAACTACGAGGAGATCCTTCGGTCCGTCCCAACCAAAGTTACTCGGGCTATGAACGATTGCCTTACAGCTGAATTCACTGACATGGAGATAAAGGCGGCCCTGGATCACATCGGGGATCTTAAAGCTCCGGGGCCGGATGGCATGCCGGTTGTTGTGTTCAAGAAATATTAGCATCTCATGGGTAGGAACATTAAGGAGGAGGTGATGAAGGTCTTGGAGGGGGGCGAACTACCACAAGGGTGGAATGATACCACGGTGGTTCTCATACCAACGGTCAAGAATCCTTCGCGAATCAAGGACCTACGGCCCATCAGTCTTTGTAACGTCTTGTACAAGATCATTTCAAAGGTCCTTGCAAATCGCCTGAAGGTTGTTCTGCCACAGATCATATCAGGTAACCAGAGTGCCTTTGTTCCGGGGCGTCTCATTACGGACAACATTTTGATGGCTTATGAGATGTCACACTACCTGATGAATAAACATGGAGGCAAGGAGGAGTTTGCTGCGGTGAAAGTCGACATGAGCAAAGCATATGACCGGGTGGAGTGGTCCTTCCTAGAAGCCATGATGATCAAACTTGGCTTTGCCAGAAGTTGGGTGAGGCTTGTGATGAAGTGTGTGACAACAGTTAAGTACCGGATCAAAATGAATGAGGAATTTTCGGATCTGTTTGTGCCTTCCAGGGGCTTCGCCAGGGCGATCTGATATCGCCGTACCTCTTTGTGTATGTGCCGAGGGTTTATCAGCGCTGCTCAATGACTCTCAGAGGAGGGGGGTTTTCAGCAGCATTCAGATCTGTCCAGGGGCGCCGGCTATTTCCCATCTTTTTTTTGCGGATGACTCGCTGTTACTTATGAAAACAAATCCAAATGAAGCGGAGGAACTGCAGAGGATACTGGCAGTATATGAATATTGCTCCAGACAGTGTATCAACCACGAGAAGTCGGCGATCATGTTCAGCAAAAACTGTGAGACAAATTCCAAAGATGCGGTCAAGACCATCCTTGGCATAACCAGCGAGGCGTATAACGAGAAATATTTGGGATTACCGGTGTACATCGGTCGCTCAAAGAAGAAAGCTTTTGCTTACATCAAGGATTCTATCTGGACCAGGATGCAAGGCTCCAACGAGCGGACTCTCTCTCGGCAGGGCAAGGAGATCCTGGTGAAAGGAGTGGCGCAGGCTATCCCTACATTTGCCATGTCGGTATTCTACTTGACCAAAACCCTCTGTGAGGAGATCAGTGCCATGATTGCCAAATATTGGTGGAGCCAGCAGGATGATGAAAACAAAATGCATTGGGTGGGTTGGCAGAAGCTCATCCGGTCCAAAGGACGGGGAGGCCTCGGTTTCCGGGATATTCACGACTTCAACATTGCCATGCTTGCCCGCCAAGTGTGGAGACTTGTCCAAGAGCCCGACAGCCTCTGTGCGCAGCTGATGAAGGCCAAGTACTACCCCAACAACTCAGTTCTGGAAGCGGGGGAGCATGCAAACATGTCCTATGCGTGGAGGAG